AACGCCTACAACCATAAGAGATACATAGACACATTTAAAGTAGGTGATTTAGTATTATTAAGGACACATAATTTATCTCCTACAGTAAATAGTTTTAGTGCAAAATTTGCTCCGAGGTGGAATTACGAAGTGAGTTACTTCATTAGTGCATGAGTTAAAAGACCCTAGATTAGATGTAGTTATAGGACGATTTCATATTTTTAATATAAAGGGATATATATATATATATATTTCCCTAGTGACAATTCTATCGAAAGTGAAGAAAATAGTAATTATCCTAGGCAGTTGCTGAAACAAGAGAATGTTGACTACAGAAGATTTGACGGTCGTTCACCCAGAAGAAAAAGGGCTTCTTGCTGGTGTATCCACCTCTTATCCTCCAACAGATGACTTACCTCTGTCTCCTCCTCAAAGGACATTGCGCCCATGTCATAGAGTTAATTATCGTAGTTAAGTATCAAAGTGTTAAACTTTCGGTAAGCTGAACCAGAGCTGGAAGCTAAAGAAGATTCAAAAACGTGAATTGTATTTTTCTTGTAAGGTATCTGTACTTAAACTGTAAAGTCAGTATAAAGAGGGAGTTAAAAATAAGGATACGAAAATTGGAATATTTTATATAAGGTGATTAATTGTCATCGCTTCGTTTTTCAAGGGAGAAGGAGTGTGAAATAGCAAATTCATTTTTTTTTATGATTATGGTTGTGTTTATCAATCATTTATTATTTCCTTCTATCGTTTAGTTTATCTATGAATTTTTAGTTGCATTAAAACACTAACTCACCTTCTAGCTAATCATTTGTATTTTGAGTAAATATATATGTGTGTATGATGAAATTGACACCAGCTTCACTAATGGTGATGTATACTATTAATGTAGCAGAAGAGTATGTAAATTTATGATCACATGAGGTTGTACTCTCGTGACCTATTCTGTGAATAAATTGTGTGTTTTGTTAATGAACCCTGATTGTAGTGGCGTGTTCATTTTAAACCATTACAGCATTCTCAGGGTGAATTAACTGCAGAAGTTGTCAGTCAGTTTTGCTTGTTATATTGGTGAATTGATATTCTGTGGGAGAGTTATTTGATGTCACCTACATCGAGCCAAGGAACAGTGGACAGCATTATTTTAGGTAGTGGAGGGAATAAGAGAACATATGTATGCACTGAAAGTTTATTGCTTTGGTAAGATGTAACACAATTATAGTAGCTGCATATGTAATTAATTGTTTCCTGTCTAGTAAGCAGGAATTATTAACTGAGGCTGTTATTTGTTTGAAGAGGGATTAAAGCTCAATGCTGTTTCATAATTATGGGTAATTAACTACCTAGCTTTACGCTGGAATAGTCACAGGTGTGGTAAACAAAGTAGAAGTAACCAAGGCTATTGTAAATGCTAGGGTTGTGGCTGTTCATTACAGCCAAAACAAATTAAGTGGCTACCGACATATATGAGATTATTGGTTAAGAACTGTGCAAACAATCTAGGCCAAATGCAGCAAAAGAAATTCAGTAACTTATCGGTTGAGTACACAGCGTGGTCACAAGTAAATAGACACCACCTTTTCAGAAAAAATGAAAATTTTAAGTCATATTCACAT